CTGTCCCCTGAAATTTTAGCCACACAGCAGTGTGAACTATCATTATCTTGTGAAATCTCTGTTTTAGTTAATACTTTGACATCTAGTGACTTAATAACGCTGAAGAACACATAGCCAATCCGACTCAGAAATGTTGTCRTGCAGAGCTCATTGTATCTTCCTCAGGATGTTTTCACAGAAATTATGCCATGCTCCATGTCTTTACCTCTTGGGAACAGATCTTTTTTTCTCCTTTTCAGTGCATGTTGAATGGACATAGACTCCAGCTAAATCCYRCATCTGGAAGAAAAGAGGAGGTTGCCTTAGAAGGAATAGAAGACAGAGTAATATAGCTCCGAGTTAAAATCTTAACTTTTAATTTTTTAAAGTTACCTTAATTTGCAAGTTTTTCTATGCTCTGTATATAGGATATGTCTTCTGTATATAGGATATTTCCCACGTGTTTTCCATTGGTTACTTTTTTTGCGAGGGATACCAATTTGGGTATTCTCTCCCTTTGTGCAAGTGCCTTTTGATTTCCTTCCTTGCTCCTTTTTTTGCACAGTGGGTTTGGGATWTTTTCCCGTTCCCATCAGCAGGGTGACGCCTGGCGGTGGGAGCGCAGGGGAAGATGCTGCCTGCGGCAAGGTGTGCCGAGCCCTTCCTACGCCCGGCTAAGGGGAATTTGCAGTCCATAGGGTTAAAAGCATGTTCCTTATGAACTCCATGGCAAAGTCTTGGTGTAAGCTAATGTTATGGGAACTACATTTGTAGACCAAAAGATAGCTCAAGATGCTGAGATTTCAGCATCTGCATATTCTGTCTCAGGAACAGATTATACTATCTTAAGGATAGAATATCCTTAATGTACCCTTACCTTTTTTCATAAAACACACAAGAGATAAGCTCCTGCAAATGCATTCTCAGAAGCTGAGATGAAAAGCCAGCCGAAGTGTGAACCTGGCTATTAAATACATACCTGGTAARCTGTTCTGCACAGATGATTCTAGGTATTTCTGGACAAGCAATCCCCTTTCTAGTTCTGCATCCTGAGTACTTTTAGATACCTGTCTGTAAATAAAGATGGAAAGCTCATTTTATGTGGGTGCTGACAAAGTGGAAATAGATTTAAATGCTAGTGAAATATTTCATGGTTACCCTAAGAAATGACTTCCATGTCACTCAAAGTACCAATTGTATTAGAATGTTTTCCGGAAAGCAAACTGCAGGGCAGTCCTGCAGACAATTACACCCAGATGATACCGCTGCATGTCACAGCTTTGAACTGGTGGTTATGAAATGTGCTTTGCAAGAAATCTGAAGGTAGGAAACAYGATAGGAATCAGGAGTTGATTCAAAATGAGATAATTTCTCTTGGCACATACAGAATRGTCATGGTGTGACTGACAAGAATTTGAAGTTGTGCAGGTTTGATTAGCTCCAGAGATTTAGGATTTTGTCAATATACTTTAACTCTTGTAGGAGCTGGGGGAGAAAGAATAATACTTTTGTGGTTGCTGAAGCATGTCAGGGTTTTTTTCTGGAGAACAAAAATACTCTAGTGACATTGTCTTAGACAGTCTGTGTTTTATTCCTTCTATATTCTGATCAAAGTCTGTGTGTGATGTTGAAAAAGAACATGAGGGTGTGCTTGATTACATTTTCTGGAGGAAAAAGATATTGCATCATTGACAAGATTGCCTGACAATTCTTTAATCTTGATAACAGTTTCCTCAGAGTTTGTACATGGAGAAATCTGTGGTCAGCACAATTCATCTGCTTCTGCAATGGCTCTTTGGACTACGAGTTCTGAGAACAACTTGCCAAATGGCTGGAAAAGTRGTGCAGTGTTCCAGTAACACACAGACCTAGATATAATCATACTAACAGCCTTGCTCTGAACTTGTTGAGTAACTATTAGTGTCAGCAAGATGATACAGCCTGCCCTTGGGTGAGTCAGAAATGGTGCTGCAAAGGGGGAAGTGGCATGGAAGGGTGGAAACAATTCCCTGTAATTTAACCAAGTGCACATGGGTCTGGTTCAGCTGGGTTGAAATGCTTAAACAGTGACTGAGTGTCCAGGATGGTGCTTGAAGGGGTTCACCAGAGGCTTGCCAAGGTGGTGAAGGGCTTACAGCACRTGCTYCCTCRGGAGAGATGTGGGGGAATTGGGAYTGTTYAGCCTCGTGAAGAGCAGTCTAAGRAATGACRTMGTAGCAATCCTCAATTCTTGAAGGGAAGGTACAAAAGTAAGGAAGCCCAACTCTTCTTGGTAGTGGCAGAGTGTGCAAAAACAGTCAAGGATCACAAATAGCAGTTTGAAGGTTCACACTGCATATTAGGGGAAAAGTTCTTCACAGAGAAGATAGGGAAAGTCCTCCTCGTGTCCATTGCTTCTTGTCTTTCCTTTGAACTCCACCAAGAAGGGTGTGGCTCCATCTTCTTCACTTCCTCCCTCAGGTATTCATATGTTCTGTTAAGAGCTTCTAAGAGCCTTCTGATCTCCAGGCTGAATAGTTCCAGCTTTCTCAGCCTCTCATTGCAGGAGAAATTCTTCAGTCCTTTAATCCTCTTCATGATAAGCTACCTGCGCTGAAGCAATTTCAGTACCTCCGTGTTCTTCTTGTACTGAGGAGACCAGGACTGAACATAGCAATGAAGATGAGTCTCAAAGGGACTGAGGAAAGTGGAAGGATCTTGACCAGCTGCCARTGTTCTTCCTAATGCATCTTAGGACTTGATCTGGTATTGACAGGGGTGTTCCTTTTAGTGGGACAATGAACACAAAATCTAACTGCATTGCTGTTTTTGTCCATGAAAATATGTGAGATGACAACAAGAAGAMTCTTGCTCAGAATCCCCAAACTTAGCAGTGTGTGAAAAGGAACATTAAAAATTATGTGCTACACAAACCATGTATGAACTTGGAAAATTATGAAAAAAAATTGAAATTTAATTTTGAAATGCTGTGAAATCTAACCTGATTTTGAAAATCACAGCCTAAGAAACAGCAGTGTTTAGTCCTAAATAGGAGTTGGGAATGGAACTGGCAAGTGCCCTGTGTTCATGTTGTGAGTAGGAGTTGCAGATGCAGCTGGTAGAGAATTCTTGTCCCTTGTGGACTAAGGCCATTTGAGAACAGAGACTTCAGACAACACATTTGTTTTACTGTCATTTAATAAGCTCCTTTATCCAAGGGAATGTGCCAGAAAGAGATCAGATAAGCAGACAACTGCTGTATTCCCTCCTGAATGAATATGTAGTAAGGAACCAGCTGTTCTTAGTGAGTAACATTGTTAGAGTCAAACAAATTTCTTATTTGGCCTGGATTTATCACACAAATTCTGATTCAAAGAAGTGGCACTCAAGCTACTTGAAATAGTTGAATTCCTCTGGAGGATTTAAATCATTGGTGCCAAGTAACGAGAAACTGAGGAAAATAAATACAGAGAAAAAACAGAGAGGCTCAAGATTATTTGAGAGGGCTGTTCAACCTTGTCCAACATGTGTAAGAAACAAAATTATGTACTACTTCTCTGGAATTATGAGAAATCAACAAAGCCACATGACACTCAAATAATTTTTTTAACAGTGATACTTTTAGACATTGTTGAAAGTACAAGTAAAGACCACATGACTGCCACAGTTAAAGTTCAATGAAATGAGTTGAAAAACAACTCAAAGTAGAGGAGAATAGCAGTATTTTATTTTCTCATTCCCTGTAAAAAATTGCATTCTGGATTTCAAGTATATAATTTATAGACAAATACAGAAAGCTCTTCCACTCTTAATTTGTCAAACTAACACATTTCACAGCATTCCTTTCTAATAATGCATGTTGTCTTGGAAGGAACACGGAAGAATTTGTTTTATATTTAAGAAAAAAAATTGGTTGAATCAGACATAGCAATATTCTTTGGATATAATCACATACTCTTAAAGTAATGCTTGCCCTTCCCAGTGTGTTTGTCACATCTGCTTACATAACATCTAAAATTGTACTGTTATCCCTTGAGGCAACTCTGGTACTTCTCTGTGGTGTTTTGTTGATTTCAGGATTTTACCACACACATGTCACTGGAGTATAGAGCTGGTTACCTTAAAATACTTATAATAATGAAACCAGTGATAATAAAAATAACAGTAATTTATATACAGATTGACAACAATAACAACAACAATGCCACAAAACCCCTGAAGCACTGCAAGGCTTTAAAATGTAAAGGATACAGGGGAAGAAATGGACTCATAGGGAAAGAGAGAATATTGGGCATGCAGGGTTTTTTTACAGGAAACCTTTTTGCCTAA